TATTCTCATTTGGAGGGTTATTGACCTGTGGAGGAGAATGCGACAAGAATTGCGGTGGTGGAGGACAAAACAAGAATTGTGGTGGTGGAGGGACGCCACGAAGTTCAACGCAGGATGAGGGGTCATCTTGATTTGGTAGCGTGGGTATCATCTCCTTGGAAGGAGTTTGAACCCTTGAATTTGCATAGATGAACTCATTGATGACGCTGGACTGAGCTTGAATAGTTTGGTCTTGCTTATCTATGGTAGTTTGCATCCTCGTCAATTGTTCATGAATCCAAGTGACCTCGTCTTCAAATGATGACTTCATGTGATTCTGGAAGTTTCCCATTTCCTTTTCCACAATAGCATAATTGCTTTTTATGCAGGATGCTAAATGGTTCCTGTACCTTCCTATTTGTTCACCGAGGTGCCTAATCTTCTCATCTACATATTCCTGGAAGGGTATATTTGACTGTTGAGGGTACGGGTAGTCATAACCAATAAGGCCTGTAAGGATAGGATCAGGAGAGGAAGAATTATGCAAAGCTGCCTGTTGCGATACCAATTGTCCTACTGCTTCGTGCCTATTCTCGCAACGAATATCGAATTCCAACAAAAGTTGCTTGACCCTAACTTGTAGGCTATTCACCCGACGCCACAATGCATCGGTATGCTCACCAAGTTGGGAATTTTGATGATTACTCGTTAGAATGAAAATTTGAGCAATTTCAGAGGTTAACGAATCAAAAATGCGTCTAATTCTTACAAATTGATCATGATTTTTGTTCTGGGCGGCAAAAATGATCTCGATATCCCTATTCAGAACGTTCAACTGGTTACCTACTTTTTTACGACGACGATCCGCATTCACAGATTCAAAACGTGGAATCATCCAACAAGGTAAGTGAGGCAAAATATACTTTGTTACCAGACTGTTCACCAGGACACCGAGCAAGAGGAGGACCGCAGCGATTCTAAATACTTCCATCATGAAGAGAAATCCCCCATACCACCATGGTGACGATACGAGGGGCGCTGTTGCCTCTGAGGTCACGTTTCCCTTGAGGTTGGTGAGTCCGGTCATGTCGACGAAGCCGAAGAGTTGAGTCAGCATTCCCATGATGTCGGATGAGGTTATACCAAGCAGGAAGTGTAGAAATATGTAATTTAATACGTAAAACACACTTTTCCCTCTGCCAACGATTCAAAACTGTTCACAAACTTCTCCAAACTCACTGTTTATGCCCTTCGCACTTTTTACTTGTACTATTGCACTTTTTATCACGAAGGGTTTCGGAGCACCAATTTGTAACGCTCCCTATTCTATTGTGGGATTGCGTGTCCTGATTCACATCCACTTTCGCGGATGCCCCTTTTCTTCGTGACGTTGTGCAATAAATTTGTAGTAGAAACTCACTTTTTTATAATAATTATGAATATATTTATTTACATCAATACCGACTGAAAAATATTGACTTTACAGAAATGCTCGTATTATGAATACGTGGGAGAGCTAATGCTATTATTTTAATTTTAACTACTAATCTAGACGGGAACTTATTATTAAGTTTTCGAAGCTTTAAACCTTGAACTTGATCTTGATGATCACTAAAAACTAACCTGCTGATCCTGAATCTAAAACTACACTCTTTTCTTCTTCTCTCTGCTTACTCTATATATACGTGATCACATAAGCCACGCCTTCTTGATCATTACCTTTACTTATGCTACATATGTATAAACTACGCCCTCATGATCATGATGATCATGATGACGTAGGCATCATTCTGTGCTCCTCATTCCTATCCTCTCTTCCCCTTCATGATCTCCTCCTGCACACAATATGGTTTGGACACACATGAGAGGCGAGATACTTATGAAAACTACATCTATGTATTTTGAATCCCTTGACCTTTGAAATGCTGATGTCACATTTGCATCAGCGTTCCAAAGGTTGCAGGCATCCTATACTTCTCATGTTAATTTTGTCATGGGGCACATGTACACGTCACACGGTAAGGGTTGGGTTAAAATGGTACGAAAATCGATCACAACCTTTGTGGACGGCCCCTTAGCTTGAAAACATTTCCAAGAATGTTTTCTCAGCAGCTTATAGTATAGATTGCTTCATAAGGGCAATGCATACAGCATGTGATGGATGGAGAATTTTGACCCTTACCCTTCTCCTGTGACCTGTGTAGGTGTGTGTATGTCCCATGTTACACGGGAAAGGAAGCCTACTTCTGGAACATAGACAAGCATGAAAAATCAAAAATATGCATGTATCTGTGAAAAGTGTAGAGTCGAATTGATAAAAAAAATTAAATTTGATGTTTTAATCCCATTTCTGAATTGGGATTAAAATGCTAAAAACGATCATTTTTTAAACCAGAAGTTTTGTCAAAACGATATTTTTAGAAGTAATTCTGAGCAAAAATGGTGTTTAATTTTTGAAATCGAGTTAAAATTCGAAAAGTTGAATTTTGACTGATTTTTTTTAAATTCCGCCACATTTGTAAACATGCCCATTCAGGATAACGCAAAAATACGGGTCCACTTATTTTTTAGCGTGAACAATTTAAAATTAGTTCGGTGGATATCGGCGATAAACACCTCACATCTCCTTATTATAAATAAGTAAAAAAAACAAGTACAAGTTTTGAGTTATCGTTTATGGCTTTAACCTTTCGGGCAGTTAATTTTTATTATTTTAGTAGCCTATGTATAAGCCAGTGCTAAAAAAGGGCCACATTTCAAACACACGAAAATATCAAAATTACCTACTAAATTCTCATCTCAAACTCAGCTTCACGTGAGATGAGAAGATATGAACTCAGCACTCGTGGTGCGATCATGCCATGCTTACATGCTCAAGTTTAGGAGTGTAAAGTGCAAGGCATTTTTATTTATGTGTATGATAAATTCTATTCTGGAAAATGGATTAAATTGATGACTTGGTAGTACAAATTATTCGGGTAGACACATTTATCCGTGACCTACAGTTCCCCTCATTATCAGTTCACTCTTCACATTGAGTGAATAAAAGTGAGACCGAGTTGCAAATCCTGAGCAACAAATTGCAGGAATGAAGACAAGAATTTTGTAATGGAACGTCTCGTTCTTATGCTGGCGAGTATGTATATATGCCGGCTGGGTTTCTAGTATTGATATTAATACTTATGAACATAGAGCGGATATGTATGTATCTATGCACTGAAATTTCTCACAACAATCGAAAATATGTATCCAATTAAAAAATGTTTTTCAACTGAAATGTACCAATATACTTACACTTTATCTCAACAGAAGATGCCACTCATACATACAAACGAATACTTAATAAATAATAATTGATTTATTGCATCATAGCCAACAGCCTTTGCACATCATAAATGGTTACATAATATTGATAATCTTACAAATCATAATCATACAAACGAATACTTAGATCCGCAGTATATTTTAATTTTCGTTTAAAAACTCGTTCGGTTTAATTTCGAGATTTTGTAGAAATTTCGAGATTATCTAGAGTAATCATTTGAGATTGAAAACTTAGGATATGTGCAAAACTGGATTTTCCATTCGCTCGTATGAATTGAACGCTTTTACTATTAGCAAAATTTCATTTCAAGAAAATCCGAAATTATCAATGAAGGAAAATATTTTTGTACAAAAACCATCGAATAATGTTTTAAAATGTTTATATTTTTAAGAAATCTTGAAATACTTCTGTAGGAAATCCTGAAAATTAATATGCGAAATGTTGAAAACGGCTTCCAAAGAAGAACTGAAAATTCAGGAGTGTTCAAACGCCGTGGTAGATTATTTCCATTATTTTTTAACTTTTAACCTTTACTTTATATAAATTTAAAGAAGCAATTCATTAATTCCTACTCATTTTAAACTTTACATATTCATATTTCATAAAGTTTTCCACCATGAAAAATTATTCACGCCTCAACAATTATTCAAATTTCTTTGTAAAAAATCTTGGCATGTTTTCTCAGAGTTACATACATAGGTCCTCTCTCTAAATATCAAATTCTATTTTGCACGAAATTTCAGTTCCATAGGGTTTGGTATGAAAAAGCTATGACTACATATTTACATAAATACATATCCCCCCTGTGAACTTACATATTAATTAGACATCTATATTATAATGTCGAAAAGTCCGTCCCGTGAAATTTTCCGTGACATTCCTGCATTCTGATTGGCTGTTGACATTCCGGCTCCACCAATCAGGAAACAGATACGAATTATGATTATGATAATGATTATGATTATGATATTCGTTAGCAACATAAAAAAATTTCTATAGCAACAAAAAAAACTTCCTTAGCAACATAAAAAAAATCGTTAGCAACGTTAAAAAAATTTCCCTAGCAACTTCAGGAAAATTCCTGAGCAAGTCGACAAAATTCCTTAGCAGCGTTAAAACGTTTCATGTGGCCCGTCTTTAGGACGGGCTTATAGGCTAGTATCCAGATAGATAAATAAATATTCCATTGCTATTTTCCGTCCTTCGACATTTTCATGTCATGTCTACATATGCTACATAGGTATGTATTCTTCTTGATCTTGTCATATCTCAGAGAGATAACTCATATGGGACTGTGCAGAACGAATGTCATCGTTTCGAGGGGAGGTAGGTTTGAAGACATCCTATGTATCCTGTCCATGTTAATTATACAATGGGGTATATGTATGTGTATTTCACACAGGGGGTAGGAGTCAAAATTCCCTGAAAATCGATCACATGCCGTACGCACGCTCCTAAGGATAAGTCAAATGTTAAATTCTGCAAACTACTAAACTTCAATTCATTAAAATGATTTCATCAAGTTAAACCAACTCATTCTCAGGTCATCACTACTCTTGACCAGTTTACTTCAGAAACTCGCAACTTTTCCGAACTTCAATATATTTTTTAAAGACGTCAAACTTTGCTTGAAGAAATTTTAACACAGAAAAGTTCCCGTATCTCAAGATGAAGTTACTTCTTTGTCTCTTCATAACTGTTGCGCTTGCCGAGCTGTTAATAAGTGACCTGGCTGTCGGATTAATCCGAAATACAACCAAAGAAATTTTGGATACCGTTAAATGGAACGCTTTTAAGGTATTTGTAACCCGTATGTATGTTAATTGTCTTAATATGGACTGGTCACTGATTGAAAGTGTCAAGTTATTTTGCCCTGCAAAAAATGAATGCATGAATCAAATGTAATGAAACTTTTGCGTAGCACTAATCATGAGCAGACCGAAGTTTTTCAGTCGTTCAATGGTTGAAATACATCTCCGATGACGATGGAGAGAAGGCTTTGACGAACACCCCTAATGGGCGCTTTGCCACTTGTTTCGGTAACTTCTATGATGGTTTTCCCCATAACCCGCCGAAATTTTTCGAAATTGTTGGGTCCCCCTTTTTTCCGAGTATATTGTTTCTAAATTAATATTCAAAATCTTTCCATGGACCACTACTGAGGTACCTTTGGACCGTTATCCTTTTTCTTGACGAAATCAGTTTTTTTCTCTCGATGGTACCTTCTCAAAATTTCGGCATTCTAGCACGTACCCATGTCAGACAAAAATAAAACGCGATTGTTTTGGATAGAAAGGGTCAATCTCTGGGTGATATATTCTTTCAAATAAACTGCGGAGTTCGTATTCTTGGTGGAAGCGAATGGCTTTGAGACGCTCCGATTTTTGTCGATCGCCAGCCATTTTATGTATTTCATTGGAAATTTTCCTTGGTTTTGAATTTATCTTTCGAACGAACGTCATTTTTACTTCTACACGAGTAGAACTTTACAGGATTGACGCTCCGAGGTCAACAAGGTAGTAGATTTCATCGTCCACGACGAGAAACTTCTGGGAGTCGATTTCAACATTTTCTCAACAAGTTTTCCACAAACTGTTTTAGTCCCTGATTTTTTATATGCATTGTATTTTTGCGCGGTTATAATGTTGCAAGTTTTGAAGCCCAACTTATTGGCTATGATCTTGCGAAGATAGGTTTTTGAAATTTTTAGTTGTCTGGGTGCAACCCTCATGGATCTGTTGCGATTTTCTGTAAAAGTTTTTTCATGTTTCTCGTCCGTGTTTTGGTCTGCTGACGGACAGGTCGACAAGGCCAAATTTAATATTTTGCATTTTCACGATCCCTATATCTGTATAGTGTATGATTAATTTTGTCCGGTGCATCCCTTGAAAAATGAGGTGGTCAGGAGCCTTTTTCCGATTCCAGAAAAACACTTATTTGACCGAGTGGCAAACTAATTTTTGCACTTCCTCTAAATTTTGTGCTGTCATTTTTTAACGAAAAGAGATAATCAAATTCTGTTTTCAGTTTCAGAAATCTTATCAAATTTGCAATTTGTCATGCTTTTTTACATATCAAAAATTAGTTTTTAAGTGCTTGGAAAAGGAGGGGGAACCTTGACACCTTCAATCAGTGACCAGTCCATAGATATGTGGATAATTTAAGAAAAAAACATCGAATTCTAGATAAAATACGCAAAAAATTACCACAATTCCAGCGTCGAAGCTAAACGCAAAAATGCTCTTCTTATCGCCCTGGACCAAATAAATGCGCACAATTCAAATCCAAACATGAGCTATAAACTTGGTACGGTTTCAAACCCAATTCTGCGATTAGTTTCTCGGCAACTTTCTGAATTTCGAATAATTTCTATCTTTCAGCCATGAACGAATATTCTGATCTCGAACCGGCAGAATTTAACTCGAAAATGAACGGGTTTAAGGCTCCATCTCATCCAAATGTAAGAGTTGTGGGGCAATCCGATGCAAGTTCATCCGCGGCAACGGCACGTTTGCCTGTGAGCGTTGATTGGAGAACCTCTGGATATGTGACACCGGTTAAAAATCAAGGTTCTTGTGGTTCATGTTGGAGCTTTTCTGCAGTAAGTTTCCTCTCTATTATGTACTAGCTAAGCTTGTACATAGTTTGTCACAGCTTGTCAAGCTTTGACAATACCGAGGTTGAATCGGTAACACGTGAACGTTTTTGACCTTAAATTACTGGAGTGGAGGTCCCGAACATTTTTTATGTGAAAGCCCTTTTCTCGAGCTACAAGTCGGCATCGGTGATTTCAACTTTTGTACACTGATTTGACCATGGCGAGGTCAACTTTTGACCACTCGTCTCTCAAAACTTTCCAAACTCCGTCAAAAGTTTTTGGGTGGCGGAGAAAAGATTTTATTTCAGATATCCAAAGCCGAAAAAATCCATGGGACTTACATAGGGTGACTTAATAGGTATTTCACTATCCTGGATGATTGTTATCCCGAGTCTAGCTTTTAAGTCCTTGGCGTAATCCTGGGTCAAAAGGGCGGTGTGCGATGACGCTGCGTCGTGATGAACTATCACTTTTATGGTGTCCTGGCCATTTAGTTTTGAGACATAAATCTCCAAAACCGGTTTTAAAACAAAGTCAATATAGTACTTCGTAGTTACCTTCACTTTTTGTGGAACTTTGATAAGTGGGAGGACACCACGACCAGATAATGCACCAACCACCATGAACTTGTTGCAAAAGTTTTCCGTGTGCGGGATGGCCAATCTTCTGGAATTATTTTCTCCTTTGGTTGTATAGTAAATTTTTCTCTGACTGTTGGTATCTTGTAAGGAAAATAATTCTTCATCCAACGACACTAAAAAGCCACTTTTATCTTTTGTCAGGTAATTCACATAAATTTTTTTTGCAGGTCATACGACTATTTTTTTTATGCTTCCCAGTCAGCTGATTGACTTGGATTTTTCTTCTTTTTGGCTGCCCCAAAATTTAAATTGCTCGACGCACACTAGTCTCTGACACTTTGGTTAGACGTGCCACTGCTCTCTGGGGTGGTGAGTTGCCCTTAGAGGTCAATAGGTCAATTTTCTTAAGCACGGGCCTAATTAGCACTTTTCGGACTCGTGTTTGAGGCATGATGGTTTTCCTTTGGCACGAGCTTGTCGTTATTGACCTTCATTTTTAAGTACCTTATGTATCTGGCCTTTCGAAACTTGTCCTTGAGTTTTGAAGTGGTTACTTATGTATGTGTACGAAGAATTAAGTTTGGAAAGTGTTTTTATGGTACCCTCTTACTCTAAGGTCAATGGTCGGGTCATTTTTGAATCTAGAGAGCTAATTTTTTGCTCAGCCCTTGTCAACAATCACATGTCGTTATGCTCAAAATTTGGAACCGAAACTCCAACCCGTTTCGGAGCAATTCAAGATCGCCCGCGTTCACGTGTTACCGATTCATCCTGTACTCATGAAAAGAGTATACCTTTCCTATGCACATGTAAATATGTATGCATGTAGACGGGAGCAATGGAGGGTACGCATGCAAAAAGGACCGGAGTATTGCTAAATTTATCGGAACAGGATTTAATCGACTGTTCTTCCCGTACGTGATAAATTATTAAATCAATTACTTCGAGTCCTATTTATATATTTATGTGCATTGATGGACTCGTTTTGATTTGTGATCCCATGATTATGGCTTCACAGTGTCAGGGAATAAACGTCATGACATATTTAAATGGCACATGTCAATTTTTATCATAAATGTCACATCGTGAAAATGCATGATATTTATGACAAATACATATAACGATATTATACATACTTGTGTATGTCAAATTTAATTCAAATCGTTCACCATTTCATTCGAAAACTGCAAAGCAAAGAATCTCGGTCTTCTTCTATTTTGTCAATTATTTCTCTTAATTTCCAGGAAAGTAAATAATCGCTCATTTACTCCACAGGTTATGGAACCTCAGGCTGCGGTGGCGGCTATATGATTGATGCTTTCATGTACGTCATAGATAACCGTGGAATTAAGACACAAGCTAGTTACCCATACAGAGGGGAACAACAAGTCAGGTTACGAGGAAGTTGTTTATGGAAATGAGATATCGTTGAAATATGCCGTGGTTCAATTTGGGCCGGTAAGTTTAAATAACCAAACGAAATGTAAGGATTTCGGGTGCCCAATGCAGCTTTGAAAGAGTTATGAGTGCATTTGGGTAGCTTATTGCTCATTAAGTAGCTTCAGCTACTTTATGCGAAGCGTTTGTTCTGTCTGTCCGCCTGTCTGTCTCTGTCTCCGACGGTCTATCAGCAGAAAAACTCGAGAACGAATAGAGCTATTTAATTTTATGTTTTGGAATAACCCATAATCGATGGCTGGTATGAAATGAGAGTAAATAAAATCGATGGCTGGGGTGAAACGAGACGAAATACAATCGATGATTGACGTTCATTTCCTGTGGAAATTAAATACCTAAACGTAAAGAAAATCCAATTACAAAATTCTCCTTAGAAAAATCTCTGAAGATATTTTCGCGTGCGTTTGATGCTGTAGTTTCGAATGAAACTCATTATAGCGTTACCTGGGATTTAGGGAAATGAGTTAGTTCTAGAAAGTCAGCATGACTTGCATCTTCACGAAACGGTTTTTGCTCACTGAATTTTTGAGTATCAGGAACTTAGCCAATAAAACTATATAGTGGTTATTGTATTGTATAATTCTGAAACCTTACTTGACTGCCACGTAGGGAGTTAATAAAAGTCTATAATTTGCATATTTTGACATACAAAATCCGCAGCCAACTGCATATATGTAAATGCACGAACATAGCGCAGTCGGGTAGCTCTTTGCATTTCTCCCAATATTATTTATTTGTAACAAAATTTCCCGTAATTAGAAGAAGATTGATACCGAGAAATAATTAAAACTTAAATTTGTTTAATGTTCCAATGTCTAGATTTCTGCTGCGATTGATGCAAGATATTTACAATATTACTCGTCCGGAATATTCAATGATACCGCATGTTCCAGTTCTAGCCTGAATCATGCCGTCCTAGTGGTTGGGTAAGTCACTTATTCCCAGATGTAAATCGACCATGAAAAGCCCAGCAACCCTCTTTCGAAATTTCTACTTATCTAGATAAACAATAAAAATTCTTTGCAGATATGGGCAGGATTCGAGTGGAAACTTATACCGGACTGTGAAGAACTCCTGGGGAACTTCGTGGGGTGAGAACGGATACTTACGGTTGGCAAGATACGCTGGTAACATGTGTGGAATTGCAACCATGGCAAGTTATCCAACTTACGATTAGGGAGGGGAATACATACAAATTAATGTCACATCAATACTGAAAATTTTTAAATTAATCATATAAATTGGGCAAATTGATATTACTTCCTCTTGAATTTCTTAGCATTTTAGTTATTCTTAATAATTACAGGAATATTAACCATTATCATAAATTCGAAATAAATTAGCTAGATAAATTATATATATAAATTTAATTATTACTTAATACGAAGACTTAATGACCAACAGTGAACAAAATTTAATTCGTCAAGGTGAGAATTTCATCAAATGATTTTATAACTTGATTTTGAAAAACGTGAAATAAATGCGAAATCAACCTTCCAGTGTGATGGTTAACTACCTATACTCACGATCTATCCTACACTAACACACTGAAATGTTCATACCTTCGTAGATCTCTTTACCCCCAGGACATACTTGGACCAAATAATTCGTACTACATACATAAGTCGACATTGCAGGAAAAAAACTGTATTAACCACAGTAAAATACATAATACAACAAAGATTAAATTTAATTAAAGAATCAGAAAAGATGTGATATGTAAAAGCCAAAAAGGAAACTTTCACATCGCGTTAAAAGTTTACACTTATGATAAGTGACTTATCACCTGCATAAAGCGTGAAGTATGATCCCTGGCTAGATAATCGACTTTGGAATTTTTACTACACGGAGTTATACAGTAACAAGGTGGTTGATTTGGTGTAAGTATTATGCAGCCCTCGTACATATCTAAACTATATAAAGCAGGCGAGTGTATCGCTGCTGGCTGGGTCGGTGGCTTAGTTGAGAAGTTAGCCTCTCCTTTTCTCTCTCCACTCTGCAGAGAGAACAGGAGAGGCTAACTTCACTAATGTTGGGGCCACGGGCTTATCGACGGGCCTATTTTGCACGTCGATTGACGGGCTTCTACACTAGTGTAGGTATAATTTATAATAAATGTCTCCCAAGTTACATACATATTATGTAGATATGCATGCATGCATAAGGCAATACTACATATGTATGTATATGCACTGAACACTTTACACGTGCTGAAGATAAGTTACATAATCTTACTATCTCCAAATTGATTAAGTGCTTGAACGGAATAAATACTGTGCTATACTGTAACATAAAACAGGCCACGACACACTTGCCAGGATTAGTTTTACATTCAGCTTCAAACTGTTAACACCACAGAAATATATAAAAAGGTTAGCAATTTTTTCGCGAAATCTGTCACTTTGCAAATTTTGTTTAAAAACAATGTACCAATTAACGTGATATTTTAGAAAACAAGACTCAGAATGGGGACTTCAATCTCTCGATTGAACAACCGGTCCCGTTACGAGCGGGTGGATTGGCTGATGGACAACCCGGAGGGGTCGCGAGGCGGCATCCTGTACCAAGGCCAAGGGTGCGGCGAAGTGGACGGGAAAGGGGTCCCAGTAAGAATCCGGCTTTGGGCGTACGACAAGAAAGGGAGGATGTTGAAACAGTTGGACTTCGTGTCATGGAATGATGCCACGTGGGAAATCACCACGTGGGGGGCAAGACTAGTAGAGCTCAATTATCACAGCAAGGAGCAAGTGATGTAAGAGAACCTTAATATATTTATTTACATACTTTATATATGTATTATATACTAGCGTATAAGCCCGTCTCCCGCCGGGCGAGAGTGAATTTGATGTTAAAAATTCCACCAATTAATATTATTGCTTTCTCTACTTTCACTTCCGTCACGGAAAATTATTTTGCTTCCGTTGCAGACAAACATTTCCAGTTTATAATATAGATGTATTAAGCAGCTTAATTTGTCACATTTTTTAAAGTAAAAGACGAAATTAATGGGAAATTACTGACATGAAGTAGATGAGTTTCTACATTACTGATTAGGTGTCAGCTTAACGACCCATTTTCGAGTGAGGGGTTTGAAGTTAAATTTGTGTTTATGAACTTTCGCATATTTCATGTATTCAAATTGCAAATTCGTAACATGTTTATCTCCATGCGTTTTTTACAAAATGAAGACTTTATTGCATATAAAAATGAATAATTTTAGGTTTGAAAAGTTAGTATTTACCTTTTCTCTTCAATCTCAAATATTCAGTTTCGGAGAAATTGCATATTTTTTTTGCATATCACCTTTATCGTATAATATCATTTTGCATGCTTCCCAATTATGTAAACAGCAAGTTTGCATAATGTTATTTAGCATAATAATATGTAATTGCTCATTCTCTCAAAATTGAACGTTTTTCAAAATACACCAGGATTATCTAGCGAGTTATATTAAAAACTCAAGGTAATTATATGGGTGTGGATTTACAAATGGAAGAATTAAGTAGGTTGGATTGAAATACAAGAGTTTCGAGTAGGTAGATGCATGTCCTCAGCATATCCTTGTGTATTTTTTATAATTGGAACCACGACGTTTCCTGCCACGTCGATAAGTTAACTGTAGTGCTCGGCACGAGACGAGACGAGACGAGATTGCCTTGTCTCGTCTCGTCTCGAAAGTGACTCGAGACGAAGTAATCGAGACGAGACGAGATGACGATTTTGTCATCTCGTCTCGTCTCGAATCTCGTCTCGGTCGAGACGAGATGTCTCGACATTCATCCATGTTTTTCAAAATATCTTTTGTATTCTTCAGATAATTACAAAATACAAATACACAAACTGCAAATATTTAGAATATTATTAATTGGCCTTGTATTCCTTATATAGTAAACTACATACTAGTAGTTTACACAAAAAAATAAAGGATAAATCTTAATCGTAAGCTAGTAACGGGACGACAAAATTTTACGACGCTTCCATTGAGTCATTTCACGTCAATTTTCGTTAGTACGTAAACACGTAAACTTACTAACCTTACGACCTTTTGACTAAACGTACCAATATCTCTTGTATGTGATTTTTACCCAGATAAGTCAAATTTTTGGTTCGTAAGATGATCTTCGCAGGCTTATGAACATAGAATATAAAGAATTAGAAGAAGCACTCTGCCCTTTGTTAAGCAAGTAAGGGGGGTGACTCTCCACGTCACATACGAGAGGTCGCCAGAGGCCCTCAATGTTAAACTAAATGGCAAACTCGCAGAGTTAACTCCTACTCCATCTGTGAGTGACGTGGAACATCTCTTTCTGTATCTTTTATATCGTGGTGATTAATTACTCGTCGCTAGAGCCCTCACTAATACTATCTTTTATGCATTTTGTATTTACCAATGCTAAGATACTACCCATCGCTTATGAACGTAGTTACGAGCTTACGAAGGCTAACATGAAATACCTGAATGACTCGTAACCGTCATAGCTTATGTTACTACATATACAAAGAATGCTTGGGATATGGATACGAAGGAATCGTTACCCGCAGTATATACAATTTATAATTGGAGTTATATAGTTAGTGTCATATTTGAGTGTCTTTTACGTAAAAATCAGAATATTTGCAGATTGGTTAAAGTTTTGATCATAATTATTCGTTTTATCTATTGTCTCTAAAAAAAATTTTTGAAGGATACTGCATTTCCCAAAGCTGCTCGCTCCTTGCAGAAGGCTAGAGGACGGAGAATTTGCTGCTAAATTTCTAAATTTTTGATGTATCGAGACGTCTCGTCTCGACCGAGATTTGTCGAGACGAGATGGCGTTGGTCTCGTCTCGATCTCGTCTCGTCCCGAAATCTTTCGAGACGAAAAAGTTGGTCTCGTCTCGTCTCGAAATTTTCGAGATGGTCTCGTCTCGCGCCGAGCACTAGTTAACTGGACTAGGCTGGATTCAATCTGTAAATATGTATTTGTAACATAATACATAATCCTGTCTCATTTTTTGCTGTCCCAAGATAAATAAGTATTTCAGTTAAGAGGCTTAAAATAAGAGAGATATCCGCACGTGTGATAAATATGTTTGAGCGACATATGTCTGAACCCGGTTGTAAAGCTTAACAACGCAGTGTGTGGTTATGCATAAATAATTAATTGGTTGTACATGCATCCACTCTAAATAAAAATAAGTAGAGTTTGCTCATGGTTGCGTAAAAGAGAGGATGACACAACCAAAAGTTCAAATTACCAAAATTTGGACCAATTTTGTACAACGTTGGACAAAAATTAGTAAAATCTACCCAAGGTTCGGTAGTAAAAGAGGATAAAATAATTTTACCTTTAGCTAAAGGTAAAAAGGTAAAATAACTATTTTAGGTCGAATTTTTTTAATCGGAAATTAAGGGTACAATTACACTCAAAAAATTTTCAACTCTCAAAACGGACGAATCAAAATTTGTCTCCCTTATCCCTAATGTATCCTAACCGTTTACATAGATATTTATTAAGATATCTATTAATGCGTTTAAGGTAGTTTAGATATTTTAAATTTTTGACACCTTGCGAAATCTTTATGTGGCGGACGCAGCTGAGCTCATTTCCTAAAGAACATATTTTCTATAAAAATATGTTCATATATGTATGAAATTTGTTCTATAGGAAAATGATGTTCGGCAAAGATATTCCACGGAACCATTACTGGACAAATGACAACGAAGGCTACTACAACGAGATGGATAGACGTGAAGAACAACGCCGTCGCGAAGAGGAGGCTCGCAGAAGGGAGGAAGCCCGACAGAACGCGGAAGCCACCAAACGAGAGGAGGCCGCCATGGAGGCAAGTCTGGAAAACCAGGTGGCCGAGCGGAGAGAAAAGTCGGAACGGATTAAGACCGAAATCCAACAAAAGCAGCAGATGGCAATGGTTCAAACCCAACGGACTATTGGGTGGAGGGCGATGGACGACGTAAATCCCGGTGCTAATAAGAACAATTTCCAAGATTTGGCACAACTAGCGATCAAAGTTCAAGAGAAAATCGAGTTAATGAAGAGGTAAACTCAATAGATTTTCGTAATTAAAATCTTATCATATTTTAGTAAGGACTTATCGAAAATTAGTGTGTATTCTAGCGATGAAAACCCTTTGGACATTTTAACTTCGGTAATGACCTTCATCAAAACCAGGCCATCGAAGGCTTTCGACCTCTTTGACAATTTCAACATTTTCCTTGAAAAGTGAACATTTTTAATTTTCATCAATATGATTTCATTTATTTAAACATGAAAAATTAATATTTAATTTATTTCTTTCATTTGAAAGAACCCTTTCCACACGTAATATTAGTGGCACAACTAGTGATTCTTCAACTCATCAAATTTTGCCACTTATTCACTGCTTGAGCTCCAAAGAAAATTTGGACCACCTTCCCCTTTCTACCTTGAAAACTTTGCTGAAGATTACAATTAATTTTGGGAATAACTGGGACTTAATTTCTAACAGTGAGACACTAACCATTGCAGTTTACCTCTT